TAATATGGGGGCGAGGGCATGTTTGTGTTTTTCCGCAGGGAGCTGACGGAGCACGCTGGTTGCCTGAACGACTAGTGCAGCATGCCGAAAATGAACATCGAGATTATTCTTCTGATGGGAATACTGATTAATCCAACAGCTTATGCTGCAGTGCATTGGGCTTACATCCCAGATCCTCCGGTACTACATCCAACTGTTTGGTCTGGGCCACAGATCCAGGTTTTTTCTAATAACTCTAAACTTTTAGGATTGCCATTAGCCATGGAACAGCAATCAGCAATAGGACTACCTATTTGTTTTCTATTCAATTCTACTTCCCAACCTGGGTGTTTGAACCTTACAGGCCCTTGGTTTGATGAATATGGGTTACAGGTTTTACAAGAAATTAACATGGCCTTAGGAAGATCTAAAAGGGCTGTGGCTGTTGTTGTGGCAGGTATTCTTGCAGTTGTCGCCTTGGTGGTTACAGCCACCACTGCTGCCATATCTTTGTCCAACTCTGTGCAAACTGCAACATTTGTTAATGATCTGACAAAAAATGTTTCATTAGCTATGGGATCTCAAGAAAGTATTGATGAAAAAATTGAACAAAAATTAGATGCATTATATGAAACAGTAAACTTTTTGGGAGAAGTTCAAGCCTTAAAACCGTCCTCCCGCTTACGTTGCCATGTACAATATCGATGTATTTGTGTAACTCCAAAAAGGTATAATAGAGCCTCCCATCCTTGGGATAAGATAAAAAATCATTTACAAGGGATCTGGCATAGTGCTAATATGTCATTAGATTTTGTTCAATTACATCGAGACACTTTAGCCTTAAAAGAAGCTCCCGAACTACAAATAAATACTGATCAAACAGTGCAAGAATTTATAAAGGGTTTAAAAGGTTTAGTCCCTACTTGGGGACCATTTACTCATTTATTAGGATTTGTTATCGTTCTAGCCTGTTTCATGTTAGTCATCTTGTGTTTATTGCCATATCTGTTGAAATGCGTAATACAAGCAGTGCGAGATGTTGGTTCCAAGATACATGCAATAAAGTTAAGAAATAAAAATGCCCCAATATAGTGGCTGGTAGTCAAAGACGGGTAAGGACTTCTTGGAAACTGGACAACCTAAGACAGGGCATGTATGATGGAATACATGTTCCAATGACGGGTAAGCTCCATGTTTCGCAGGAAGCCACCTAAGACAGGCACAGTCTACTATAAAGTAAAAAAGGGGGAATTGTAGGGAGCTAAAGCTCCCAAAATTCAAAGGAGTGCATGGATTATCTTGGGAGGCCTGCTTGTATATAAAAGGGAAAAGGCTGGTTCTGAGGAATTCCAGGAGGAAGAAGATTAAGATTAGAAACAGGAGCGTCGAAGGGGAAGTGTCTATTGTACCTTGATCTTCAAGATGTTACTTTAACTATGTTATCTTGGGATACACAAAGGAACAGATTATGAGCCTAAGAAATAAACACGGAGAGACAGTTGTGAGATCTGTTCTCCCTCCTGCACCCTGTCTGTCTGCTCTTTTTTCTCAGTCCCCGCTCCCCCATTCAGGGACCTGGTTTGACTTGGTCGTCTGGTTTCTGACAGGAGGCTCAGCGTTCCTTTCTCTCTGTGGCACAAATGTGACATTCTTAAGATCCACTAAAGGACTCAGGGATGGTCGTGGGCTAGAAGTGGGCCTGGGAATTGTTGGGATTCCAAGCACAGGTGACCTCAGGATGTGTCATGTGGGTGGAGACCGCCGGTGGTTCCTCCCCTCCAGACACAGCTCAACACTGCAACGGTGACGTGGGGCATATGTATGGCACCTTACCAAGCCCTTTCTTCTTATGTGTTTGTAGCAGCATTCCTCACAACAATCCTAAGAGGTTAAACGTTCTCATTTTCATTTTACAGAGGAGGAAATTGAGCCTTGGAGAAGTCAAGTCATTTGTCACAGATCTAATAGCTCCTAAGTGGCATTGGAGGGACTTGAAGCGAGCCTTCTCTCCTTCACCCAGCTGGAGAGACCAGCAGTTCATGCTCTTTGGGAAAATGTATCTAGCCCTTGGTCAGTGCTCAGGCCAACCCAGGGGCAGGGCAGGTCCACCCCCATGGTGGGAAGGCAGAACCCTCACAGTATTCAGGGCTATCTCCCCCTGTGGGGCTCTGATCCAGCCTCCTCCTTGCTTTCTCAGACCCTGAGGCCCTCTGGGCATCTCCTATGGATCTGTGATCAAGGTGGGCAGCTCTCCCAGCAGCCCCAGGCAGTGGTGAGTAACCTCAGCAAGGAAAGTGTAGTGGTGCCCAGGGGCCTGACTCTGCTTTCACCTCCCCACTTCTCTGGCTCCATCCTCCCTCTCCTAAACTGGTTTAGTCTGCAGACTCGCTGGGCTCCGGAAGTCCCCCTGAGTTATAGCAGCAGTTGGTTCTTTGTCTATTTGATTGATTTGTTGACTTTTCATAACAAAAGTTGTATCTACTTCTTTAAAAAAAAATTCAAACAATGCAAAAGCACACTGTGTGGGAAGTGCAAGTTATCGGTTATGGGAGTTAGTACATCCCCCTCCCCACTGTGCTCATTGCAATACTCCAGTACCAGTATTATCCCCGGTTTACAGATGGGTAAACTGAGTCACAGAAATTGTTTCATCCAAGATCACAGGCTAAGAAGTGGCTGATCCAAGATACAACCTAAGGGGGCCAAATCTCCCATCAAGCTTTTAAATTAAACAGTCTAAAAGCGTCTCTCTAGAAGAAATTCTTAAGCAAAAGGTAGGAGTCCAAAACTAATATTTTCTCCAGATAGGGAGGGAAGGAGGCGGAGAGAGAGGGAGAGATTATTTCCCATAGTATTCTGCCGCTGGGCTTTTGCTCTGCATAGACTGGATGGTGGCTTGTTCACATTCCCGGGGCTGCTCCCTGCAATCACTGGGCAGGAGTCGGGGTGTAGGATGCGTGAGCTGGCTGCGGTTCCTAATGGCTGCACTCTCCTCCCCCAGGCCGCCAGCCAGCGGCATGTGGCTGCCACGCATCTCCAGCACTGCGGTGACCGCCCTCCTGCTGGCACAGACTGGCCTCCTGCTCTTTCTAGTCTCCCGGCCCAGGCCAACGTCCCCAGCAAGTGGTGAGGAGCGGGTGCATGTGCTGGTGCTGTCTTCTTGGCGCTCGGGCTCGTCCTTCGTGGGCCAGCTCTTCAGCCAGCACCCAGATGTCTTCTACCTGATGGAGCCCGCGTGGCATGTGTGGGCCGCCCTCTCGCAAGGCAGCGCCCCAGCGCTGCACATGGCTGTGCGTGACCTGGTGCGCTCGGTCTTCCTGTGCGACATGGACGTGTTTGACGCCTACCTGCCGTGGCGTCGCAACCTGTCTGACCTCTTCCAGTGGGCGGTGAGCCGTGCGCTGTGCTCACCGCCGGCCTGCAGCGCCTTCCGGCGCAGCGAAATCAGCAGCGAGGCAGTGTGCAAGCCGCTGTGCGCACGGCGGCCCTTCGAGCTGGCCCAAGAGGCCTGCGGCTCCTACAGCCACGTGGTGCTTAAGGAGGTGCGCTTCTTCAACCTGCAGGTGCTCTATCCTCTGCTTACCGACCCGAAGCTCAACCTGCGTATCGTGCACCTGGTGCGCGACCCGCGGGCTGTGCTGCGCTCGCGTGAGCAAACGGCCAAGGCACTGGCCCGCGACAATGGCATCGTGCTGGGCACCAACGGCACGTGGGTGGAGGCCGATCCCGGCCTGCGCGTGGTGCGTGAGGTGTGTCGCAGCCACGTGCGCATCGCTGAGGCTGCCACCCACAAGCCGCCGCCTTTCCTGAGCGGCCGCTACCTCCTGGTGCGCTTCGAGGACCTGGCTCGCTCACCGCTTCCTGAGATCCGCGCGCTCTACGCTTTTGCTGGCCTGAGCCTCACGCCGCAGCTGGAGGCATGGATCCACAACATCACCCACGGGTCTGGGCCCGGAGCGCGCCGCGAGGCCTTCAAGACCACATCCAGGGACGCGCTCAATGTCTCCCAGGCCTGGCGCCACACGCTGCCCTTCGCCAAGATCCGCCGCGTGCAGGAGCTGTGTGCCGGCGCCCTGCAGCTGCTGGGCTACCGGCCTGTGTTCTCCGAGGAGGAGCAGCGCGACCTCTCCCTGGACCTGGTGCTGCCACGCGGCCCGAGCAGCTTCAGCTGGGCATCATCCACTGCCGCCCACCGCGGGCCTTAGGCCCCAGTTGAGGCCCTCAATTGCGGCAGTCGGTCACCAGGGCTGGGACATTATTATGGGGGACAGAGTCGGGGCACAGGCTGCTACTGGAGGGACCGGGAGTAGGAAAGGACTATGTTCCCAAACTCCTTGTTTCTTTTTCCCCACTTCTTGACTTCCCTCGGTGTCCTCTTTGGGAGCTGGATTCCCATCAGGCACGCTATTCTTGGAAAGCAAAGCTCATGTCCCCACTTCCTCTGGACGCAGGGATGGTTCAGACACTTGACTCCTACTCAAGGTCTTTCTTTCCCCTTCTCTCTCTCGCCTCTCTTGTGATTCATCATCCAGCAGCTGAGAAGGGTGTCTCCTCCCTTCCTGGGCGTGGAGGGGCACTGTGGTGAGCTGGCCCCCAAAGTCTGTACAACTCCCTACACACACCTCAGAGGCCATTCCTGCCGTGTCTCTGGCACCATTCTCCATCAAAGCCATTGACATTTATATTTGCCTGTGTCTTCAACAAGAAATCAGACAAAATGGCTCTTATCATGTGATCTCCCTTAGCTTCTCTCTGCTCCATCTCCCAGGCCTCCCCCTTCCTTGCCCCGCCCCCCCATTACCTACCCATGAACTTTTGATTTGTCCTGCCAGGAAAGATCCTAACTACAGCAATAAACATAATAATTAGCCTGTGTGATACAAATTAGAGTTTAAATCCTATAAAGTGTGACAAACAAAACAAGTGAAGAGACTTGTCCAAGGTCACTCAATGAGGAAGAGGATGAGGGAGGAGGGAGATTTTGCTCTGGGGCTGCAGTGGGGAGAAGAGAATGAATCAGGTTTGCAGAGAGACCTGTCTCCTGGAAGGGCCAGATTTTTCCATCTCATTTGCCCTAGAGAAGAGCAAACAGCCATGGCTGGGCCACAGCTGCAGGATACAGGAAGTAGTGAGCTCTGAGTTCAGAGCGCAGAATCTAGAGAACCCCCTAGGTAAGCCTGGAGGAAGGCAGTGAAGAGGAAAGGTAGAGGGAGAGAAGGCTGTGAGGCCTGGGCAGCAAGCCAGGGAGAATGTGTTTCAGAGCAAGAGGTTGGCAGCGGGATCAGTGTTTGGAGGGCAGGTCACAGGGTAAATGAAACTAGATCAGGTTTGCTATGAGTTTGGAGGGAAAAAAAAGGCTCTGGGGTTATTCTGTCTTCCCTCGGTCCTTCTGGGCCGGGCCCTGGAGGAGAGCAGAGTAAGATTCCTAACTGCAGGCCTAGCAAAGTCTTATTAAAGGGATGCTGGCTGGATGGGTACAGAGTGCTTAGTGAGCTCAGAAAGTAAGAGCCAGCAAGTGCTCAGTAAATGACTAACAAAGGGGAAAAAAAAAACAAACTCTCAAAACCTCTAGAAAGGTCAGGACAGGAAATGTGAGACCCCAAAAATAGAATACCCCAAATCTCACTGGGGCACAGTTGGTTTGGGGACTGACAGTTGCCATCAGAACTGTGCCCATTACCTCTGGAAATACAGAAGTTGCTCTCACAGTTGCTATCAGTCACCAAAAGGGATTCTGGAGAGCTCTAGCTTCTGGTTCTCAGCCTGGGTGTGGCCTTAGATTGGTGGGACCCGGACTGTGGACCCACATCTTTGCTACAAAACAGGCAGGGCAAGGGGGAATGTAGCATTTTCTGCTTTTCTTGTAGGGAGCAGAGGTATATTGACTTTGAAGCTGAAACTTCAGGACTTCTCATTTGACTGTCCATCAAGCTATAGGAGCTTCAGGCTCTATGAAATCTAGATCTGCCCCTGCTCCTGGTATCATGGAGAAAGTATTTAAAACCCCAGATTTAGATGTGGTTCCATGGTGTAGCGGTTAGCACGTCTGCTTTACACACAGAAGGTCCTCAGTTCCATGCCACCCTGAACAAACCCAATGTCTGATCTCGGAAACTAAGCAGAGTCAGGCCTGGTTAGAACTTGGATGGGAGACCACCTAGGAAGACCAGGTGTTGTAGGCATAAGTAATAAAAATACAAAAATAAAACCCTAGATTTATTAATGAGAACTCTGCAATGTAGAAAGACTAGGGTCATATAATTTAATATATGGGCTAAGACTCACACTCACATCTTTGACTTCAATGCTTACACTCCTAACAGGTAAACTAAATTGGGTATGCAGTGAAGGACCCCACCATATAAAGATGGATGAGCAAGAGGTTCATGGTGCCAGAGACATTGATCCCTAGCAAGGTCCGTGAAGGCTTTTTTTTGAGGGGAGGGTTGGGGGGACAGTGGGCTGGGCGTCGGAGCCTAGCTTGATAGAGGCATCACGCAAGTTTCATTTGCCTCTCTGTTCAGGTTACAGCCCCTATTGATGGCCACGATCAGTGGCCTTTGCTATATAATTTGTCCATTCTCACCTGACTCCTGAGGTCCCAGGGTGGGAATGACTGGCTCCCAGGCTTTGCTCCCTGCATATGGGGCACTCTGGGCAAGCCTCTGAGTGAGTTCCCTGGCTTTGGGGTGAACCCAGATCAAGTATCAGGACAGGAAGGCTATACCCAGTTGAGCACTTCAATTGGTGAGGTCCAGTGCCAGGCTCTGAGAACACAGTAGAGAATGGAGCAGTCGTAGCCCTTGCTCTTGTGGGCAGTCCAGACCCTATATAAATAATCTCACAGATAAACATACAACCTTAAATGTTGATTGTGCTCTAAGAAACAATAAGAATGGGTAGAGGGTGACCCACTTTAGTATGAGGAGTCAGGAAGACTTCTTTGAAGAGGAAACATGTGGTCTGAATAAATGAAGGAGGAATAGGAGTTAATCATTTACAGGACGTAGAAACAAGCAGAGAAAAACTGAGGGACTGGGTCGTGGCTCAAGGAGCCTTGACTCCTTGTTGGTGCCCTCAGAATCAGGGTTCCTTGATGAAATAGACACATTCCTGGGAATCCAGGCTCATGGGTTGGGAGAAGCCCCCAGAAGATGACCAAGTTTGTGAGTCTGTAGCAGTTTTTAAAAGAACTGCTGGGTCAAAGAACATTCATGTGTGAAATGGGAAACTGCCAAATTACTCTGAAAAGGAAATATCAATTTATACTCTCTGGAATGGTGGTGTCAAGAATGCCCTTGTCACCATCTTCTACTGACAACTCCCACCCTGCCACCCTCCTCTGCACAGAGTTAAATCAATCATTTTTCATTTTTACCTCCCTGATAAAATATTGTTTAGTGTTTAAAAACTGAGCTACCAAGCCATGGAAAGAAATGGAGGAAACTGAGATGAATATTTCTAAGTGAAAGAGGTCAATCTGAAGAAGCTACATGCTGTATGATCCCAACAACATGACATTCTTGAAAAGGCAAAACTATGGACAGTGAAAAGATTAATGGTTGTTAAGGGTTGGGAGTAGGGTGGGGAGGGATGAATAGTTGGAGCACAGAGGATTTTTAGGCAGTGAAAATACTCTGCATAATATTATAATAATGAATGTATGTCATTATACATTCGTCTGACCCCAAAAGTGAACTCCAAGGTAAACTATGGACTTTGGATGATTGGTTATGATGTGTCAATGCAGGGTCATTCTTCATAACAAATGTACCATTCCGGTAAGCGATATGGATAATGGAGGAGCCTATAAATGGGTGAGGGCAGGAGGTACGTGAGAAATCTCTGTACCTCCCTATCAATTTTGTTGTAAGCCTAACACTACTCTTAAAAAAATAAAGAACTGGAGCAAAAAAGCCTCGGTGCCCTCAGGAGGGTGTAGGAGCGCTGTTGAAATGGCAGGGACTGGCCAACCACACAGAGACTGAAGCAACTGCCACAGGCTGGACTTTAAATTTTCCCAGGGTGGCAAGTTCCTCAGCCGATTGAGTATTTTCTCCCTTGGGGATAAGGCCGGAGGACTTGGTTGGCCTTGCAATTCTGGTCCTATTGATCTCAGTCTTCAAGTCCTCCATACTTTCATTCACTCATTTAACACACATGATGGATTGAGCACCAACTAGTGTTAAGGGCAAAAGTCGGGAAGGATCACGGGGATTAGGAATGTATATGTGTAGGGGTGTGGGTTGCAATTTTTAATGGGATAATCAGGGAAGGGCTCACCGAGCAAGTGACATTTGAGTAGTCTTAAAGGAGGTGCAGTTAATTAACGGGTAACTGTGGGTAGTGTCCTAGAGGAGGAAATAGATAATACAAAATTCCCAAAGGAGGGAAAGAATCTAGCATATTAGAAGAGCAGCAAGGGGGCTTAGTAGGCCTGGTGTGGTAAGCAGAAGGTAGAATACTAGGAGATGAGAAAGTAAGAAAGAGGGGGTCAGATCGTGTAAGACCTTGTAAGCCTTGTAAAAGAACTTTGGCTTTTACTTGGAGTGAGACAGGGTGTCCAAAGCCACTCCTACCCTATTGTCCTGCTTAGCCGAATAAGTATAATGTCACATATGTATAATATGTCAGGTATTACACATAATAGAACAAGTACACAGATAAATAAGTATCTCATTATAATTTTACTGTCTATGTTAATATCCTGAATTAGTATAGTGTTAGTTTTGCAAGTTTTTGAACTGGATTTAACTTAAATCACACTGTGGCCTTCTTCTGCAACTTAGATTTTCCCCTAGAACTTTATATTCCTGGAATTCATCATGTTGTTGCTTACAGCTTTTATTTCCACTACTGAATAGTATTTTTTTGAAAATTGTACCACGATTTTATTTCTTGAAGGACACTTGGCTTGTTCTCAGTTACTTGCTGTTCCAGTGCTCCTAGGGACAATCTTGTCCATATATCCTGGTACAAATGCTAGAAGATATTCACCTGGGAGTGAAATTGCTGGATCATGAGCATCTTCAACATTATTACAGAATGGTTATATTAATTTACATCTCTAGAGTTCCAGTTGCTCTGCAACCTCACTAACAATTAGCATTCTCAGACTTTAAAATTTTGGGCTTTTGGGTAGTTGGCAGATAATATTATGGTTTCACTTTGTGTTTCACTAATGATAAGGTTAAGCATCTTTTCCTGTTTTTTTGTTGGCCATTTGTATTTTTTCTTTGATAAAATACCTATTCAGGTCTTTTGTCTCTTTGTCATTTTCTTATTGATTTTTAGGAGTGCTTTATACATTCTGAATACTACTCTTTTGTCAGTTATGTGTACTGCAAATATTTTCTCCCAGTTTGTGGCTTGTCTGTTTTACTTTCTTTATGGTAACTCCTGAATAACACAAGTTCATTATTTAAAGTAGTTAAATTTATCAATCCTTTCCTTTATGGTCTTTGCTTTTTGTATCTAGTTTAAGAACTTCACTATCCTGAGGCCCAAAAGAAATTCAACATTGTTTTCTAAAAGTTTTATAGTTCTGCATTTTACTGTAAATGAAATAAATATGGAGTTCTATTTGTAAAAAAAAAAAACAAAAAACAACCAAATATAAACTTACTTTTGTTCATCTTATTTCAAAATTTTCTTGCAGTTTTGTGTTTTTCCTGGAGTTTGTATTGCTTTTTCGTTTTTTTCCCACTGAAAGAAGAAACAAGTATGTTTTTTGCCCTGCCATTAAAATTTGAGCTTTTAACCACTTTATCTGTAGCTTGAAATTCCATTTTTCTTCCTGAGGACACTCTTTTTTCTGTTCTAATCTGGTTAGGTGGCTGCTAGGACTGCTGCACATAGTTAGTAAAACCCTCCTGGTTAAATCCACCATTTCTTGTATTGCACATTTTTCTCTTTCTTGGTTATTATTCTTTAACTTTGCTGGAGTACATACATAGCTTCCTTAGAAAGGGCACATGAAACATATATTTTCTGAGTCCTGAAAGCCTAAATGTCTTTTTTTTAATCTGTCAATTCTCAGTGTGATTGGAGATAGAATTCTAAATTCAAAATAATGTTTCCTAATGTGGTACATGATTGATTATTATATGACTTTAAAATGACTGATTTTTTCCATTTATACACTCAGCTATTGTGGGAAATGTACCGAAAGACAGCATTGTTAAATATTTTATGACTTTTTTTTTATTACTATTTTCGTTTTAGAAAAGTTTCTTAGTTGATGCAAAATCTCAGCTATAGTGTTAGGGAAATGTCCTTAAAAACTTCCAAAACAAAGGCTTTCAAGAGGGAACTTTAATAAAGAATCATGCTAATGTTCTTGAACTGAAAGGAAAATATCATGCATTTTATACACAGTGCTTTTAAATTTAAAGAAAATTAATTAAGTTTTCAAAAAATCACTTTCCCTCCAAATATTAAAGTTATTGCATCTTGGGTCTGGGAGGGCGTATGCAATTCCCCTACTTTCTTATAGGTGGCGCTGCAGAGAAGGGCAGAGCACAGCGCGTTCTGCTGGAGTAGGAGCGATTTCTCCAGTAGGGGGCGTAGCCCGTGGATGCTGAGTCTCGGTAAGCGGTACGCAACGTGGGGGGCGGGAACATCTCTCGCCCCGCCTCTACCACCGGCGGCGCGTTCTGATTGGAGGAAGGAACCATCATTTGACAGCGCCGTTGGGGTGGGAGGAAGAGGGCCCAGCCGAAGGTGACGCTAGAGCGGAGGTCGGGAGAGTGGAGCCGGCCGTAAGTGAGAGCGAGCCACGGCAACACTTCGAGGGCTCTCCCCCATCTCTCTGTGGTGAATGGCGGCGGAATGGAGCACGAGGGGAGCAGCGGCAGCGGGGGGTCGGCCGGGCTCCTGCAGCAGATCCTCAGCCTGAAGCTCGTGCCGCGGGTGGGCAACGGGACCCTGTGCCCCAACTCCACTGCTCTGTGCTCCTTCCCAGGTACCGGCCCCGCCCCGCGCCTGCGCTCTGAGCGCCCCGCCGCGGCTGTCCCGCGGTGGTGCGCCCCTTCCCCCACGTGCAAGCTGGGCCCCGCCGCCCAGCGTCCCCAGAGGCTGTTTTCCTCCTGGAAGGAAGGGACGGACCCGCTCCCTTGGCCGAGAGCTGGAGGCTCTAACCTCTTCCCCTATCGCTTCCTCGTCGGCCCTTTGGACCGGGCCACGCCGCGCCTGCGCTGGGAGCGAAGTTGGAGGGAGCGGCCGTGGGTGTACTGGTGAAGGGAGCTCGGCTACCAACGAACTGGTCTTGCTCTTTGGAGTTTCCAAATGCTCTAGGTTCAGACTTGAACGCGACAGAGTTCCTTCACTGTTTGGGTCGCGGGAGGCGGTTATCCCCACCTCGTTTGAGGCGCAGGATTTGCGCGCCCCATTTCGTCCGCGCCGGCCTCTTGGCTTTCGCAGCTCGGACGCCGAACGGTCCCAGCCAGCGGTCCTGGCCGGACTGAGAGGCAGTCAGAAGTCACACACTCTGATAGTCTAGCCCACCCCTCTGTGCCGGGAGGTTGTCTGCTGAACGCTCGCACCTCCGTCCACATCCATCCTCTCCACCAGCTTCTCTTTCTAGGAATCACTTTCTGAGACCTGTTGCCGAGCTCCCACTCAGGCATTCCAGATCTTTGGCACAGCTTCTTTTTAACTCTTCTTAACGCCCACTGGAGCTTCTGCTGGGCCTGGAGTAAGGGTTTTTCAAATTTATAATACGAGATAGGAAACTCTCCGTGCTCTGAAAGCCGAGCGAAGGAGAAATTACTTGGGAAGGCTAATAAAGGCTCTGGGGAGGCAGGGTAGGGGGAAGGACACGGTTAATGTGTGTTGGACCTTTAAAGGCAAGAAGACTGAGAACAGTGGCGTTTGAAGGGTGAGGTTGGGCTCTCCAGCAAAGCTGACTTTTATCTTGACTTCGTAAACAATGTCAGAATGGGACCTGAGACCTGCAAAGGAAGGAGGATTGGATTACTGACTGCAGTCATAAACAAAGGACCTGTGATTTTTTTCATCCACTGGGCAGCGACTGCCAGGCGCCATTCAATGGACACTTGGGACTTGTGTACTACCTACTTAGTATTTTACCGGACAGGTTTGTGAAATAGCTAATAATGGGGCAGATGCAGATGTTAGCTCGAAATCATGCCTAAAACGATAATATAGCAGTTCGCCTTGTTTCAAAAGGTCCTAAGTTTACATTTGACAGGGATAATAGAAATATATGGCATTCTGGAAAAACTGTCCAAAAAATAAAATGCCCATTTCAGTCTGGAGGCACTACTGGACCAGGTTAGTCTGCTTTTTGTTTGTTTCCTTATTTCCCCCAGCTCTTTATTTTGAAATTTTTCAAACCTACAGAAAAATCGAAATGATGGTATAGCAAATACCCATATACTGTTTACTTAAGGTTCATTATTCATATTTTGATTCTTTTGCTTTCTCTAAGTATATATGTGCATACACTTAACATTTTTACTTTCTGCAAAGCCATTTGAAAAGAATTGCAGAAATGATGGCACTCGATGCCTAATACTTTAGCATGGATCTTTTAAAACACGTTCTCTTTCATAGCCAAAAAACTGTGACATCCAAAAAATTTAACATTGATATAATATTATCTAATGTATGGGCCTTATTTAAATATCCCCAATTGTCTGAATAATGCCATTTTGGGGATCTAATCAAGGATCACACATCAGATCACACAAGGATCAGGCATTTAGTTATCTTTTTAGTCTGGTTGACTATAGAACAGTTCCTCCATCTTTGTTTCAGTTTCTTGAGATTGACATTTTTGAAGAGTTCAGATTAATTGTTTCTCAGTGTGTCCCAAAATCTAAATTTATCTAATTATTTCTTCATAATTACATTTATATTAAACATTTTTGGTCAGAATATGACCTACATATGTGATGTTATTCACTTTTCCAGTGTATTATATCAAGAGCCATGTACCATCAGTTTGTAAGTTTAATAATTCAATGAAGATGGTATTTATCAGCTCTCTTCACTCTAAGGGTACCTTAATCCTTTCGAAATTAATAAGTCATGTGAGGTGATACTTTGAAACTGTGAATATTCTGTTTAGTCTGTCTGGCTTTAGTTGCTTTTTCTTTACCCTTTTCCTACTTAGAAAGAAAAAAATGCAGCTGCCTGCCAGCATTCATGTAACATCGCACGTAGGAATGCCACACTTGCTAGGATTTGACATTTTCAGTGATTGAGAGTTACTATATTTTGTAAATGGAAGTAGCACTACTTAAAACAATGCTATAAATAGAATGATGTCATTTGTTTCCAAAGACTATTGATATACTAGGGCAATACGAAAATAATAAAAGCGAGACGTTTCATGGCAAACTTGGGAGTAAGGTCAGGACTGTGATCCGCGAGTTTTCTCGGAGTAAATGCTGCAGCTGTAAGTGCCACCAGCAAGTGTTCTTGGGGCAGACAGGAAAAAGGTTAAGAAAATATCAAGATAAGTGGATTCGGGAGAATAATTTTTACGTCTCATAGTAGAGAAACTGTAGCTATGGGAATTGTTTTGCTTTCAGAAATTGTTCTGAAAATATTAAACTGCAAGGTGTACTTGAGTTTATGCGTACTTCTCTGGCTGTAACTTGGAGGTGTTGATCACCAGGGATCATTGTTCAGAACCAAGGAACCCCTGCTATCCAAAACGAGAGCGTTCCTGTGAAACCTTTCGTAAACCAAAATGACATAAAAAGAATGACCTTGGGACACGTCTTGCTAACAGATGCATAAAATAAATTGAAATAAAGCACAGTTGCTCCCAAACATAGTTCAAAGCTGCGGTGGCTTGATGCTGAATGTAGTTCCCAGGTAAGGAACTTGGTGGGGCCACTGTCGCTGCTCAGGGCTCGCTGCCTGTAATAAGGGCTCACTACAAAACAAACACTGAATGCTATTTTTGCTTTCCGCCTTTTTTTTTGGTAAAAGCAAAAATCCTCTTTGGATTTCTTTTGGTTATCGAAAACAGATAGTAATATAGGTCTTTCCTAAAAGCAGAGTGGTGGAAGGCGGACTTTGGAAAAGGAGGTGAGATCTTTACACATTTTGCAAGTGCAGGCTCTGGGCTGGGGGTATAAACATGTATGAAAAACATAGCCCAGGACCGCCAGTTGATCAGAATGTGGTGGGTAAACAGTGAACCTCCCTGCTGGGATGATGAGTACAATAGGAGAATGAAGTTTGATCCATTTTGAGACACCGAAGCCTGCTGACAGTGCATTTTATTCATTAACCTGAATCTGGAATAGTTTCTATTTTGGCCCCACAGAAAAGCTTATTTGTATTTTATGCCAACTCAAAATGGCAAAATCATTGCTCTAAAATGTTCTGTGGTTTTAAAACTATCAGGAAGCTTTGAATTGATTTTTTTTAAACCTGCATTTGCAATTTAGCCAATTTGGGTTTAGGTAGATTTCTACCTAAACCCTCCTTATTCCAAGTAGTTCAAATTTCATTTGTTGTTGTTGTCACTTTTAACAAATCTGAATACCAAGAAAAGCATTTAAAGTGTGGAAAGGAACAGTTGGTGGTGAGTGTGAGATAGGGTGGAGGGTTAGTAAGTGGTGGCTCTTGTGTGTCCGGGGTGGAATGTTATTTTACTCAAGGTAGGAAGATAGGAAGCCCTTTATGATGATGCCATTGAAGCTGAAATCTGAAGGAAGTGAGGAGTGAGCCACACAGCGGTTGGGAGAAGAGCGTTCTGGGCGAGGGGACAGCAGGTTCAGAGGCCCTAGAACAGGAGCTTGCTTACGAAATAAGGGAGGCCACTGTGGACAAGGCAGGAGGAGGAGGTGAGGCCAGATCCTGAAGGGCCATATTGGAGGGTTTTGAGCAGAGAGGGATGATCTTTTTTGTTTTTAATGTACAATTCAGTGATTTGCAGTATATTTGGCAGAGTTTGCAGCCATCACCACAGGCAACTTTAGAATATCTTCATCACTCCAGCAAGAAATTTTGTACCCACTGGCAGTGACTCTCGGCCTTTGCATGGAGAATAGTTGGAAGGCCAGATCAGAGCAGACAAGATCTAGCTGGCCTAGGACCAAGACACCACTGGGGTGAGGCAGGCTGGGGTGGGGCACACTCAGAAACCAGGGATGGGTGGGTGGTCTGGCAGTGGTGCCAGCAGAGAAGTGCAGCCTGTAGTTGGTGGTTCCAGTGGGCAAGTCATTGTTAGAGAGATATGGAGGGATGACGAGGAAAAGCTGTTTTCCTTTACTCTCACACTACTACCACACTCACAACGCTTCTGACGCCAGATGTGTGGGTCTTCCACGCATCAAGCAGTTCTGTGATAGCACTTAGGTGTCCCACAATTCAGTTCTAAGGTCTACCTGGAGTTAGCATCAGATCCCGCAGGTAAAGCGCACAAGACTGCCCCCGCTCCCACTTCAGACACCAATCAAAAGTCCAGATTGTCATATGTGCTTCTGATCCACTGGCTAGAAATCGAAGGTTCCCATGACCCTCTCTTTGGTTCAATATTACAAAGGATATTGAAGGGTACAAATGAAAGCCAGATGAAGAGATACATAGGGTGAGGTCCAGAAAGGTCCCTGAATGCAGGTGCTTCCGTGGTGTTGCAGTGGGCCACCCTCCCAGCATGTAGATGTGTCACCAATCCAGAAGTTCTCCGAACCCCATATTTTGGCGGTCTTTATGGCGGCTGCATCATGTCGGCGTGGTTAATTAACTCCAGTTCCAGCCCTTTCCCCATTCTCTGGAGAATGACAGTGGGGCTGAAAGTGCCAAGCTTATAGTCATGGCTTTCTGGTGACCAGCCCTCATCCACGAACCCACCCAGAGAACCCTCAGGAGAACCAACGATGCTCCTGGAAAGGAATTTGGGAGCTCTGCGTCAGGAACCGGGGAGAGACCAGTGTACAGATGACCCTTGAACAACTCTGGTCTGCACTGCACGGGTCTACTGAGGCATGGATTTTTCAGTTGACCCTTACAGTTCAAACCTGAGTAGTTCGAGGCTCAAACTGGTGGCTGGGAATCCACACATGCAGAGGACCAACTGAAGTTATACTTGGATTTCACCAAGCGTCAAATGTATACGTATTTCTTATTATTTCACAAGGGAACAGATAGACCCCCCCTGGCAGGTCTTGCTTGGAATTTAGGTAACTCGGCTGTAGAGGTTAAAGGGCCAGGGAGCCAGCCATGTACAAACCCCTTTTAATACAGAACTCACCTAGAGGATTCTACAATCTATGTAGCTTTGCTCTTTAACTGAAATGTTTGTCCGAAAATAGAGTCTTAATAAGTTTTTTGAGGGCAGGCATCTTTGTCTTTTTATTTTTATTTTTTCACTGAAGTGCCTGGCATACGGAATGGGCTAAAATAAATATTTTGTTGTCAAACGAATAAACTCTTAGTGTTGCCACTGTAAACTTATCACAAATTTAGCGGCTTAAAACACCGCGGTTTTATCATCTTACAGTTCTGGAGGTCATAATTCCAAAATGAGTCAGCCTTGTTGTATTTCTTCTGAAAGCTCTAGAAAGAATTGTTTTTCTTGTCTTTTCCAGCTTCTAGAGGTCACCTGCATTCCTTGGCTCATGACCTCTTCCTCCATCTTTAAAGCCAGCAGCATAGCATCTTCAAATCTCTCTGACTCTGACCCTCCTTATTACACTAGGCCCATCTGGATAATCCAGTATATTCTCCCATCTCAAGAGCCTTGATCTAATCACACTCAAACTCCCTTTTGTCCACATTCACAGGCTTTGGGGATGAGTATGTGGACATCTTTGGGGCCCTTTCACCAGTGCTTAATCTGATCCCCCCTTATAATCTTTTATTACAGATAAATTTTCTGATTTATATTTCAACATCAGGAAGTGATTTGACTTTTAGCTACCAAAGTAAACAAAAGTGAGATAATGCACTCAATTTGAAATAGTGAACCAAGAAATACTGTAAGATATGTAGACAAAGGTTTTTGACAGTGTGTTAAGCCAGAGAGATAAAAAAGTACTTTATGATGATCAATAAATAGCTATTAAATAGATAGCAAATTAAGGTGCAGTAGATTAAAGGGAAATCACTTAGTTTTTTTTTCAGTTTTATTGATTGGGGTTTGCTTTTGCTATTAGAGTCCAGTAATAATTCCATCCATCTGAAAAGTGTTTTCTAAACTGTACTATTCATCTAATATAATAAAGCCTTTTTTCCTACATTAAGCGACACTTTATTAAATATGTAGGCACTGAGGTTGCTCATGGATGTAGCTCATGGTTGTTAGAGGGCGCAGCGTACTTCTCCTTCTCAGAAACTCAGAGGCGATGACCTGCTGTGCCAGATCTTGTTTGCAAATGGGCCTTTTGGCTTTTAGGAAAATTGAGCTGTGGATTGGTAGACCTAGCAGGTCCCTTTAGGCAGGCACTGTGCTCCAGGGGAAGTGGGAACGGGTGCGTGTTAGTATCTTCGTCTGCTGGGGCTGCTGTTACAAAATACCTTAGACTGATTGGCTTAAATAACAGATATTTATTTTCTCACAGTTTTGGAGGCAGGAAGTCTAAGATCAGGGTGCCAGCATGGTGTTTTGGTGAGGGCCCTTGTGGGCCACCTTCTTAATGTGTCCCCATATGGCAGGAAAAGCAAGAGAGAATGAGAGACTGAGATCTCTCTCTTCCTCTTCTTATAGGGCCGTACACCTATTGGATTAGAGCTTCAACACATGAATTTTGGTGGAACACAATTCAGTCCGTAGCAGTTGGGTAGCACACCTGAGTGTCCAGACTCACTTTTATGGAAGTTGTCAACTTAGTGTGTCTCTAGCAGATCAAGGCCTCACCTCCCAGTTTACTGCCCTGGTGGTTGTGTGGCAGCCAGTAAGAAGCCAGGTGCCAGCAGTGCCTCGAGTTGCTGCAGAAAGCAATGCTTATCTGTAAAACCTGAGGAGCTCCAGCAGGGCCCAAAGGCCGTGTCAGCTCAGTGATGGGGTCTCAAGTCTTTGGCAACTGCTCTGAGTCTTGAAGGCAGATTTTCCATCCCGTTTGTTCGCCGTGAGGCAGTGGAATTCCTGATGTCATCCTGGAACTTTATTTGCCCCCTGGGTGGTGGGATGGAGGTCAGTCTCTGAGTGAGTTAGGGAGCAGTTGGTAAGGACCGTGGGGTTGAAGGTGGGGTTCCTGCTTTGGAAGGGAACTGCACGGTGCTGTGCTGTGGCTTGGGGATGAGCGGGCAGTGGGTGGTATACGAGGGGGCTTCGGCTGGCGGGGCCAGACTGCTCTCACCGAGCCCGGGTTCCCAGGGAGGAGAGCTTTGGTGGGCGCAATTTTATTGGGAGGGAGCAGTGTCTAGACACCAGACACTGTAACCTCCGAAATGCCGCCAAGAAGAGAGGGCAAGTCTCCTGGGCAGTGGAAGGGAGAAAATCTCCCGGCCGAAGGCTGGGAAGGGGGCGGCAGGAAGATGGATTTGTTTCCGAAGAGAATAGGGACTCAGACCCCGAGGATTCAGAATCCTGGCCATAATTTCTGATTCGACACTATCTACTGGAAAGGTGTTTTTTTTCCTTCAGTGGACGAAGAACAGTAGTTAGTAAATATACTTTAAAATATTATATATGCTATTCGTATGTTATATGTTTAATTTTTAAGCTTGGGACATAACTATTTAATCACTTTATATTCCATAATGCAGGATTTCACTTGTTTTCACAGAATTTGTCAAACACTATCAAACAAAATAAACCAGTTTTAACAGTATTTTAAAATTATCTTAACAAATATATCTTAACAGAAAGAAAAACCCACTAATGGTTTTAGACTTCCTATAGCTATCTGATAGTTTCTCACTTGAACAAAAGTGCCGTCATTTGTTATTTTTCAAGCATTGAGCCCTACATGGCACACCTCTGATGCTTTCATTCAGAGCCTTTCATCCAAAACAAGAGCTAGTGTCCTAATTTAGGTGTATGTAGAATATAGTGTTAAATACAGCTTTATTTGACTCAAAGTGAGCAAAGAATTAGTGCAGTCATCAGTAACAGTGCCAAGGGTGGCTTGGGGAGATTTGGCCCTCACCCCTAATCTCCATTAGCCTTTTAAGCTCCCCTTCCCCAACAAGAATTAGAAATTGATCTGAGAAAAAACTACACATACACAACAGATACTTACATCAAGAAAAATCCAGCATCAAGAAAAGCCCCTGGTCCTCCTCCCCGTCCCTGCTTCTCGCTCTCCCTTCCCAGGCTGATTGATGCCCCTCATTGGTCCCTCTGTAATCGTTCATCCCAGTCGGCCCAACCTTCCTGAACAATTCTTTTTAAAACAAAAGTTTTGTTGTTTCCTTATCAAAGTGGAAAGTGAATTGTGACCAGCATTCAAATCCAGCATCAAGAAAAGCCCCTGGTCCTCCTCCCCGTCCCTGCTTCTCGCTCTCCCTTCCCAGGCTGATTGATGCCCCTCATTGGTCCCTCTGTAATCGTTCATCCCAGTCGGCCCATCCTTCCTGAACAATTCTTTTTAAAACAAAAGTTTTGTTGTTTCCTTATCAAAGTGGAAAGTGAATTGTGACCAGCTCTTCCCAGCCCATCTTCCACTCCAGAAATAACAATTTCCTATAGCTTAATGGGCACCAAGAGGGGGCATAGAGGTTGAGGGCTTGCTTCTGAAGTCAGGGTTGAACCCTGGCCCTGCCTCATGCTGGTGGTGTGGGCTCAGGCAAATTTCTTCACCTCCCTCCACCTACATTTCCTCATTCTGAGACATGGGATCCTAATAATATGTGCCTCACAGAGTTGTTTAGAGGATTACATGAGTTAATATTCACAAAGCACTTAGAATGGCACCTGTGCATGTCATAAATATTAAACATTTCTGAGTACTAGAAGCATTTACATGCACTTTTTTTTTTTTAATAGAATCTTTTTCTACATACTATTCTGCATTGCCCAATGTGGGTTGGGCATCTTGTCCCATATAAAGATCTAGCTCATGTTTTTATGTGGTTGTGTAATGTTCCATTATGTGGACACACCAAAGTGTGTTTCACAAGTAGTCTTATTAAAGTTTCACAAGTAATCCTACATTAATAGACATGCAGTGGCATCTAGTTTTTGCCATTACAGACAGTGCTGCCAGCAGCCTCTGGTTACCTGTCCTTGCTACGTGTGTATTCCTGTAGACTATATGCCAAGAAGTATAATCACTGAGGCAGGGGGTATGCACATTTGCCTTTTTCGGATACACGCTTCCAAATTACTCTCCAGAAAGGTTTTCTAGTTTGTGTTCCTACTGAGGGTATAGATGGGACGGGGGAAGTAAAGTCTTTACAACACTTTACTCCTTAAAACCTTTGCTGGGACTTTCAGGTAGTCTGGCCTTCAAAGTTCACCGTAATGTGACCCTGTCTATCTTTGCAGCTTTTAACTGCCTCAGTCAGTCTAGTAGTTTTTAATCAAGGCAGTTTTGCCTGCAGGGGACATTTGACAAAGTTTGGTTGTCACAGCTGGGTAGGAAGTGCTACCAGCATCTGGCGAGTAGAGGCCAGGAGTGCCGTTCCACACCCTACAACACACAGGACAGTCCCCACACACAGGTTCACATGTCAGTAGAGCTGCGGTCAGGAGACCCTGAGTTAAGCTGTTGACTGATCTCTAAAATTGTGTTACTTACCTGTCCCTAGCGCAAGGATAAACATCAGATTTTATCTAATGTGTCACCTTCGCTATATCCATATGGGTAGCTAAAGAGCTTCCCTGAGAATTCATAAGCCTTGCCTGGGCTCACTGGGGAAAAATGCTATGTCTGCCATTTCCCAAAGGTAAAGTCATGAGGGCAGGATGGTACCTCCACTTATTTTTTTTATTTTTTATTTTTTTCCCAAGGTATCTCATGCACAGGTTTGTATACATCATTGGTGATCAAATACTTTAATGTTGCCTGAATTACTGTCATCTTAAGAGTGATTAAAGGTTTTCTGCAGAAACCAGCTCATCTTCTAACCTGCCCTTCATTTGCCATTTGTCTTTAAGCCAAACATTTATATCTCCTGGTATTTATTTCGTATCTTGAAGAGCTTTGATGTCCTAAAAGGAGGCTATAGCTTGATATTTGCTGCATGGTCTTGAAAATGATTGTTGAATGAGTATAATGGTATAGCTTTTCATTTTAGAAGACTGAATAATCAAAAAGCCAGAAAAGATCAATAGGCATTGATTGCATGGTACCCTGTCAATGAATTAGGCTTTTACTTCTTATGGGAAGGAAATGATTTAGGACAATTTTCAAATCTAGGTGAACCTTGTTTTCAGTGTTTGGGGGTAGAGGTCAGTAGTGAGAGGTCGGCCAACTTTTTTGTAAAGGGCCGTATAGTAAATATTTGAGGCTTTGAGGGCTACGTGTTCCCTGTCACATGGTTCCTGTCTGTTTTAGCTCTGCTCTTGTAGCTTGAAAGCTGCTGTAGACAAGACTTAAATGAACGAGCACGGCTGTGCTCCGATAGGACCTTATGCACAAAAACAGGTGGTGGCCATTGTTTACTGATCCCATTAACATTTGGATATTTGACTGATGAACCTACATTGCATCTGGTTTTGAAAATGAGTTACTGGGTTACTTGGGAATGGCTACCCCTTTGTAATAACTGCCGTGGGACAGGCAGTGATTTGCGACCTTTCTTTGCTTTCCCTTGTAGAGATGTGGTATGGTGTGTTCCTGTGGGCACTGGTGTCCTCTCTCTTCTTTCATGTCCCCGCTGGATTACTGGCCCTCTTCACCCTCAGACATCACAAATATGGTAGGTTCATGTCTGTAAGCATCCTGTTGATGGGCATCGTGGGACCAATTACTGCTGGAATCTTGACAAGTATGTTAGACATTAAAATACCAGTCAAAATATTTCATATGACTAGTTAATTTCGGGACCTATTTTAGAAACATGTCTGAGTGGGATGAAGAAAAAAGAGTGGCCTTGAACCACAGGTCTCTTTTAATGTGATTTTTTTTCCTCTCCCACAGAACTCCCCACCCCGCTTTATTTGCTAACATCTTTGACTTCCTGAGTCAGATTTTCTCTCCCTGGCTTCCGGGAAGCCATGTTAAGCTTTGCGAAATACATCTTCTGATATAGGTTCACTAGCAAAAGAAAGATATTTATCTTTTTGGAAGTTACTGTGCCTTTCTCATCAGCTGTCACTTGACTCTGATGATTAAATCACAAGATGGTTGATGAGTTACTGCCACTTATTCAGATGTGGTTCCTTTAAGGATAGAAGAATAATTCTAATGACAAGAATTCTGTTTTAAAAAGTACCTGGTTACTTTTTTCCTCTCAGGACTTTCTGAATAAGAATTGGAGTAACATTCATATTATAAATTATTTTTACCTTGGCTTTTGCTTATATCACAGGGATGAGAATATGTTTAAATCATTTTTAAGCTTTTAATATAAATAACATCTATATTTTATATAAATTAAAAAGTATAAGTAAAAATAAAAATATTCCATTGCCATATTCCCCTCAATGATTACCACAGTTAGTATTCTGGTATATGCTTTCAGATTTTTTTCTAGGTATACATGTAAACATAAATATATTCTTAAAAATAGAAACATAATAATCCTACTAATATGTAACTATATTTTTTCCCTGCGAATTTAGACCTTGAGCTTCAAACAGAAATCCCTGTCTCTTTGACTTGAAGGGTTTTTTGGAGGGGGCTACAAAGTGGCCTCATTTCTCTGTGTTCTGTAGATGATAAAATCTTTGTGATAACATGGGGAGGAAGCCAATTTTCTCACATCTGCGTTAAGAGGTTTCCATAACTGGCCTTATACAATATTTTTAACTATATCACCTACTGCTGTCTTTAGAGACCCTCTGCTCCAGTTTCCATACTAGATTACTGGCTCTTAGGACGTGTTTCAGATTTCCCATTAGTAAAATAGGGAGAATACGCTTCATCTCATATGCTATGTGATGATTAAATGAAATAATGTATATATAGTTAACATAATACCTAACATGTAGTAATTTGTGCAATAAATGCCATGTTTATTTGTCTCTAGTGCATAGAGTCTGCTCCCTTCCGATTTTCCTGCTCCTTTCTCTCCATCATCCACATCCCACCTTAGGGCCCAGTTCAAGTTCCTTTGGCTTCTTTCTACCCAACCTGTTTTTTGTGAAGCTAAATTATAAAGGGGCTTCAGGGAAGCACGTGCCTCTCTGATGTTAGTAGCACAGTATGTATGCATTGCCACTGGAGGTGGACATTTCCAAGTCAGAAATATGCCAGGCAACCAACACAGGTGTTAGTTAGTTAATATCGTTCTTCTTAAAATGTTAATATGCCTTCACACCACATTTAGAAAACATGCAGACATTTGATGGAGACACTATATATTGTCTTGCATCATTCAAAGTCTATTTCATGCTTGTGCTTTCTGTCTTGTGTCCCCAGCTAGATTCTGTGTACTATGTGAATAGGGATCACACCTTATAAAATATAGAAGTACATAAATATATGAGTGAATGAACACACTGTGACCAAGGAGAATTTTGTTTGGAGCATTTTGGAGGAAAGGGTCATCTGGAACTTTGGATCTGTTCTTTTCCAACTAATGAAATCTTGACTTTCTTGGTATGTTGCTGAGTCCCTGTAGCAATTCAGAGGGGTACCTGGCTATATACAGATGTTTGTTTTGTTTACTCAGTATCAACAGTGAATGATATGGGGAACAGAAAGGGATCCCTGAGTATCTCTCCCCTTATGCCCTTTGAATTAATAGTGACTTTGTAGGCTTTGAGTCCCCCTCTCGTCCTTTTCCCATCCCTCTCCTCCCTCCTCCACCCATTTCTTGAAGGGAACTCTGAGTACAGTAGAAGGTGGGAGTGGGGATTCCCAGTGGCTTCTGAAATATTTCTTGCTCAGTCTCACACAGAAGATTTTGTCATTTATTGCCAAGAATTTATTAGGTATCTGTTAAATGCATGGGGAATAAAGAGATGTTTTTGAGTTTGCAATCAGGTCATTTGGAAATTACAGTCTTCGTGATTTGGGTTATGACTTCCAGATGCTTTTATTCTCAGTTTTAAGGAGTCACTTTTCAACATCTAAAAGCACATATCAGTGATTTGCAAACAATATAAGGAATACTTAAAACCTAGAGAGTCAGCAAAAAGAAGAGGGAAAACAAAACATTTCTATATTTAAATTTTAATGTAAACAATATGGAACATTCTTCTTAGAGTAGAATTTTAAACACTATATTTTCCTGATTATATTAATCTTGATTTTTCTTTTTAACACTCTTGAATTTTTGAACAGGTGCAGCAATTGCTGGAGTGTACCGAGCAGCAGGAAAGGAAATGATACCATTTGAAGCTCTCACCTTGGGCACTGGACAGACGTTTTGTGTAGTGGTGGTCTCCTTTTTACGAGTTTTAGCCACCCTATAGCATACACTCTTTTTCTATGATATCGAACCTAAGTTTTATAGACTCCTCAAAAAGAATGCAATATGGAATGTAGTATTTTCTTAGTTCTTCAAATGGAAGCAACTTGGATAAAAAAAGTATGTGAAGAACATCTCAGCCCTTTCTTCAGTTTGAAGCTCCAGGAATTGAAGATCTTTTGGACTCCTATTGTTCTCAACCAAAACAAATCAAGTTCTGTTTTCTTTTTGATAGTTAATTTTAGCAGTTTTATAGGTGCACTTTACCCAAAGCCAGGTCAGCAAAGCTTCTGGGTTAGCAGCCTTCACGCTGAAATTTGCAATATTCTATGAGAAAATGCAATGTTGCATATTTCAGAGAAACTATGGAAAATATTGATTGATTTCTGAGCACAGTATACTGCACTAAAATCTTATTTGATGTAACCTTGATTAATATTTGGCAGACTCTTCTTTTGCTACATCTTCATGACAGTAAGTGCCAAGTAGGTTTGGGTTGAGGAGAGCTTTGAGAACAAATTTGGTGAAATAGAACAGGAAAAAAATATAACACAAGTAGTGGCTTTGATTTCACTGTTTAAAAAATGGAGATAACTACTGAATGATGTGACATTTTATGGATAACTGTCTTGACCTCTGATTATTTAATACATTTCAAGAGATGTGAATTTGTTGTTTTATACATTTTATCAAAATAAGCTAGCTAATCGAGACTTTTTTCCCCCAGAATTCCACCTTTTCCTATCACTTTTACTCTATTAATTTTATTTAGTTTAATTGGAAACATATCCTATTCAATAGCTCAGGTTGAAAATTTTAAGCCAGATGGGTTAGGATACTCTTTTGACATTGAGGCACACAAAAAACATACTTTAAACACTCCTAATGTCTTTCTTACTTGCTCTTGAAAAATAGTAGAAGTACAGCTTAAACTAGAGTTTAAATGGTTTTGATGTCTCAGTTTTAATAGTCACCTAGTCTTTTTAGTTACCTAGTGCTGAGTCTTCAGCTCATTTTTACAGTATTGGTTGTCACTCCCAGAAAGTGCCTAAAGTTTAATTTTCACATATGCCTTCCACAGTGTCCTTTACATTTTCCTTTAAGAGAATTTATGTCATTAAAGAGAATTAAATGTCAAGAGTTTTTTTTAACCCAATTTTAGCTATTTAAATTTTTCTTCTACTGCTTAACTTTCATTTTCATTAAAAGAATTGAAAACTGTGACCTTCAAAACAGAAAGGATTGCAAAGATTGAGTTATCTAACTTGATCCTTACCACCTAAGCTGTTTCGTATGGAATACAATCAATATTGTTGTTATATTTTCAAAATTGTTTCTGGGAATTAAGTCTGCTGTTTTTAAAGGAAAGTTTCCTTGTGAGAGTAATGAGCCCATGAGGTCATGTTCACAGGACTGTATCTATTCCATCGAAAGCAATATGCATTCTGGCTTCTGATTAAAGGTAGCCAGGGGGACCAATTGACCAGGGATAATCAAAGAGAAAAATTATGAGGGCATCATAAAAATAAACTGAACATTTTCTTTTAACTAATAGTCCTTTAGACCGCTTATCAAAATTATAGTGACATATACACATACTAAGTGGAAAATTACAAGTAGTGTTTGGAATGCAGGAAGATGTCCTTACAAATGCTCAAATCTTCAAGCAAATTTTAAGACTTTAGTTAAAGACTATTTTTCAGTTCAAGGAGCTGTGATTTTGAAAAGTAGCCCTTTTCTCAGAAATTCAGGGATGCTGTATCCTTTATTATAAGAAATGATTTTAATCATCTCTATTGAAGGATACCTCTTAGCTTTCTCACCTAAAACATTCTTTTGGATAGAATTTCACAAATGGAACATATGGGCCAGTGGTTGGTGGGTCCCTCTCCCTGAATACTAATTTTTGAACATACTGATCTGTGATTTAAATGTTTGGTTATTTTTCTTTTAGAGCCAAGACACACAAATTAATGCATTTTGAAAGGCATCTTGTTTCTGTCTTGGTTCTCGTTTGCTATACTTTGATTATTCACTCTTTAAAAACTTCAAATATAAAATGTATATTCCAATTATTGAATGTTTCATCCATCCCAATATGTGAACATTCTCCTGTGAATAAATGTATATATACTTTATATAGATTGAGCTTTGTAGCTTGAAATTTTTTCAGGAAGAAACTATTTGAATGCTAAAGAATGTCTGTTCCTCATTATTTTTATTTTTTTTTGTTTTTAAAATTTTCTGATCTCAAATACACAATTATTTGGGGGTGATCGCTCCAGTGAAAAAATATTCACATTTGTGTTGAACCTTTCATTTTACCACATATAGTTTTTAAAGAATTTTTGCCAACATCTGGCTTTCTTAGGACATGTACAACCACCCTACCCCCAGCTGTGCATCCACTTTTCCTCGTTTTTTATGCGGGGGAGGGAGGCAGCCGCCAACCTTAAAAGCTGATTTCTAGGTTCTTTAAAGGGTTATGGGGGTAAAGGCATTTCATGAAACTTAAGTCCATATACAAATGTGTAAACAATATCCTAAGAGAAACATGTCTTCTTGTACTATTAACTCATTTTTTCTTTTTCTTTTTGCAGCAAAACATTACTTCTTAGCAAAAGTCTAAACTAGTGAGAAAAAGTTCATGCAGATAATGACCTTAAAACCTTTCCTTACTTTTTTTAAAGTTTTAAATTATATCTTGGCTTTTGATTCCGATGTCCTTTCTGACTGCTTTGGTTTGAATTAAGTTCTCATTAGAACTGCAGTGCATATAACCTTCTGTAAGAAAGCATTTCCTGGAATGTGAAGCCCTGGTGCCATTAGCTATCCACGTGCAGAAACTTTAATGTACCTGCATTCCTTTTTTGTGCACTCTGTTAGGCTGGTTGTGACTAAAATCAGCTTAACTTTTTATATTAGATTATTTCATTAATTGCTATAGTCAAAATAATCAAATCTTTGTATGAGAAAATTATTTAAATTTTATTTTTCTACTGACATTTCTAATTCTGGTGTAAATGTTTATCAATAAAGAATTACTTTCAATTCTTTGAACTGGAACTGTTATTTCTTTTTCAGTGGTCAACAAGTTTAATCTTTTGTAATTAAGTTGTCTGACATTTTTTTAATAAAACTTAGTACTTAACACATATTTAACTATTTCTATTGTATTTAACACATGTTCATTTCTATTGTGTTTAACTTCCTGTTAATTTACAGTAAAATTCTTATTCAATGATGTGATTAAACTGTACTTAACATGTAAACTTGAGTCTTATTAACTTCACTTGGTGGGCTATATATTACATCAACAAGCTTTTGTTTGATTACAGACTGGGATGGCAGAAAGTTGATAGAGTGTGTCAATAAATGTATTATTTCAGTAGAAAATCCACATGGAGAGGCTCCAGATTGGTTTAGTACTCTCTGACATCATAAATCTTTTTCTGCCTTGCCGTTTTCAGCAAATTCGATTGTTCCATTTGGGAAGCTTACCCCCCATGGTCACAAGGTGACTGAGGCCATCCATATATTCTCTCTCTCCTGAAGTATGATATACAGTAAAGTGCACAAATCTACACTTAATGTGACTGATACTGAGATCAAGATACAGAATGCTTCTAGCATCCCAGAAGGGTACATGCAGAGTTCAGCCAGAAGCCCCAACATTGTATGTATCCAAGACCCAACAGAAGAAGAACTTTTCTTTCAATTTTCAAAAAGGTGAAAACCCAAGATTGGACAGTGGAAGACTATGGGGATGAGGGGCTAAAGGTGCTGAGTTTGCCCAAGAGGACTCCGTAAATTATTCCCAAGACAGCATGGTAATAATGAACCAAGACTCTGTAGGGAATTGTGGGGATTTGTATTGTGGCCACTGGAGAGCCCTGTCAAGTCACACTGCTCAGTTCCAGCTGATCTCTACTTTGTGGCATTATGAGCCCAGTGTTGCCAGATTGTCTAGTTTTTCAAGAGAAGTTGCAAATCTAGATTATTTGAAATCTCTCAATTGTTAAATGCTGGCAACTTAAATTCATGTCATTTCAGGTCAAACATTACATGTCTTTGAGCTGGATTTGGCCTGCTAACCAATTTTCGACTTCTTTACTAAACTACTTGACACAACAGAAAATAGTTCCTCTCCTGGTGAACCGTAACGTGGTCAGAAACTTCGGTTGTGAATTTGAACAAATGTGTGGAATACCACTGCGGTGTAAAGAGAAGACTGAGAAATGGATGACGCTGGAGGAGTCTGCTGGGGAACGCCAATTTATCCTTTTCCCCAGACTCAGACCCCAGTTTGTCACTGTACGGTCCCTTCATGCTGTCCAAGAAAATGAGGGTAAGAATGGTAAACTACCAAATACTGGGTCCGAATTTCATATCTAATTTTCTATTCTCCTGTAAGAACGATCTGCTGAAATAGATCATAGACCTAAGTGTAAGCACTAAAACTATAAAATTCTTAGAAGAAAACAGAAGTTCTGTGCTCTTGGATTAGTCAAAGCCTTCTTAGATACAATCCCCAAAGTACAAGGAACAAGAAACAAAAATAGATGAATTGGACTTCATCAAAATTAAAAACTTCTGTGCTTCAAAGGATACCATCAAGAAAGTAAAGACAAAAATAAAAGTAAAGACACCCTGCAGAACAGGAGGAAATAGTTTCAAGTGATATATTTTTTAAGAGACTGGTATTTAGGATATACAAAGAGCTCAACGGTAAAAAGACAAATAGCCCAATTTTAAAATGGGCCAAGGATCTAAATGGACATTTCGACAAACAACATATCATACTAATAAGACATGAGAAGATGCTTAACATCATTAGTCATCAGGAAAGTGCAAATCAACACCACAATGAAATGCCACTTCACTCCCACTAGGATGGTTATACTCAAAAAGAGTTCGCAAGGGTGTGATGAAATTGGAACCTTGGGACAGTGTTAGTGAGAATATAAAATGGTGCAGCCACTTTGGGAAAGTTTGGCATTTCCTCAAAAAGTAATGCACAAGAGTTACCATATCAAGCAATTCCACAGGCATATACCTAAGAGAAATGAACTTTGAAAATGTGTTAAATAAAAGAAGATCATCACAAAAGACCACCTATTGTATGACTCCATTTCCAGGAAATGTCCAGGACAGGCAAATCTATAGAGACAAAAACATTATCCTAAGGCTGGGAGTTGGGGAGAAATGGGGAGAGACTACTGATGGGTAAGGTTCCTTTCGGGGGTGACACAAATGTTTCAAAATTGATTGTGGTAATGACTGCACAAGTCCGAAATGATCAAAACGATTAAATTGTGCATTTTAAATAGGTAAATATTACGGTGCGTGAATTATGTTTCAATTAGGCTATTTTTAAAAGTTTGCTGGCATAGAGCTACTGCAATGTCCTCTTAATCACAAACGTGTTTATTTATTCCTTGATTTAGATAACTCAGGGACTGGGTGACACAGACCCAGTCTAGTCCAGAGTATCAACAAGGAGAAATGTTCAACTGGAAAAAACCTAAACCTGAACAAATAGTGTGTTAGTTGATGTCTCATCTGCATTTGCTCCTGATTACTGCCTCTCGTAACTGGATTATCATTATTTTTTGTTACTTGTAAGTAATATAGTTTATTCTTAAAAAATTTTTTAAATTATTTATTATGGTGACATTGGTTAATGAAATCCAGTAAGTTTCAGCTGTACACTTTAACAGTAAGGCATATATATATTTACGCTGCGTGTTCACCTCTCATAGTTAGATTTCCTTCTGTCATATTTGACCCCCTTTACCATGTCTACCTCCTTCTTCCCCCCTCCTCTCTGGTAACCACTAGTCCATTGTCCATGGCCATGAGTCTCTGTTTGTTTGTCCTGTTCATTTGTTGCTTTTAGGTTTATATCCCACATATAAGTGATATCATGTGATTTTCAACTTTTCCTGTCTGGCTTATTTCGCTTAGCATGATTATCTCAAGGTCCATCCATGTTGTCGCAAATGGCAGTATTTCATCTCTTCTTAGGGCTGAGTAGTATTCCATTGTATATATGTACCACAGCTTCTTTAGCCAATCATCTATTGTAGGACACTTCGGTTGCTTCTGGCCACTGTGAATAATGCTGCTACGAATATCGGTGCGCAAATATCTTTGCAGATACGAGTTTTCAAGTCTTTGGGGTAAATACCCAGTAGAGGGATTGCTGGATCATATGATAGATCAATTCTTAGTTTTTTGAGGAATCTCCATACTGTTTTCCATAGTGGCTGTACTAGTTTGCAGTCCCACCAGCAGTATGAGGGTTCCTTTTTCTCTGCATCCTTTCCAACACTTATTATTACTTGTCCTGTTGATTATAGCTATTCTAACAGGTGTGAGATGGTATCTCATTGTGGTTTTCATTTGCATTTCCCTAACAGCTAGTGATGTTGAGCATCTTTTCATATATTTGTTCGCCATTTGTGTGTTCTCTAGGGAAAAGTGTCTGTTCAGGTCCTCTGCCCATTTTTTGATTGGATCGTTTGTTTTTTTGTTGTTGTTGTTATTGAGTCGTATGAGTTCTCTGTATATTTTGGATATTAGGCCTTTAACAGAGGCGTTGCCTGCAAATATTTTTCCCATTTGGATGGTTGTCTCTTTACCTTGTTGATGGTTTCTTTTGCTGTGCAACAGCTTTTTAATTTAATGTAGTCCCATTCTTTTACTTTTGCTTTTACCTTCCTTGCCTTTGAGGTCAAATTCATAAAAGCCTCTTTAAGTCCAAGGTCCTGGAGTTTAGCTCCTGTTTTCATCTATGCATTTTATTATTTTAGATCCTGTATTCAGGCCCTTAATCCATTTTGAGTTAATTTTGGTGTATGGTGATAGACAACAGTCTAAATAACTGGATTATAATTACAAATTTTTTTAATCTGATGAAATGATAAAGATTATCTATGGTTGTACTTCTATATGGGTTAATTTGAAGGAAAGATTTAAATTAATGGTGCCTGAATTTTAGGATACAGTCAATTCTTGTTGTTCGTGGTAGTTTTGTCTACAAAGTCACCACACACACTCAATTAGTGAATACTGAACCACAGTTAGGGAAACACGGGTTTGAGTTCCTGGACGTCTCCAGTCACATTCTTGTCAACTGATTAATACATAATCTTGTTTGTGTTTCTGCTCAGACACATTATTTAATATACCTTTCTTACAAATAACTATATGTAGTATTTCTTTGTAATGAAAATATTTCAATTGTCATTTTCATATAATGTACTCCATAATGCAGAGATCGTACTACGTTAACTTCCCCTCAGACACATACAGTATGCATACACAGCACACATAGTAAACACAGTATAAGATACTATACAATGTTCACAGACAGTAAACCTGTAATGTGAACATATAGTCTACTGTACAGTAATGCAAATAAAGTCCTGAAAAGTTAAAGCATTTAAAGTTTTATAAAAACTAGCTAAAATCTGTTGATGGAGCTGAAGGATGTGTGACAGTACAGTGCATGGCGTAGTTAAACCCCTTGACCTTGGCTTGACCCATAAAGACCAAGGGAGAGCTTGGTGGGACTTGCTCAGCAGAAGAGGAAGAGGGTGGTGGCATGCTGACATCTGGCAGTTCAACACCAGGAGTCTGACTTTCATGACTTGTCGACGAAGCTGGCAATTTTCCCTCCCAAACTGGCTCAAAAAATTGGGTCAACCTTGTCTGCTTGGCTTTTTGCCTCAAATCTTTAAGCATCTCAGCATAAGGGGCCAACGCAGTGCAGATGAGGTGCTTAAATTTGAGGCTGTGATCAAACATAAGGTTACACTCTTCCATGTCATTGAAACTTTTTTCCAGGGCAGAATTCCATTCTGATATTTTGGCCACTGTAAGAGGGACAATTCTTGGAGTTGGGCTGACTTTCATCTCCATCCTCATCATTGCTGACACCACTGCCTTGTTTTGCAATCTCATCCAGTTCTTCATTGGTGGGTTCTACTTCCTTCTTTGCCAAAATTTCCTGCACATCTTCTTTCTTCATGTTATCAAAGCCTTCTCTATTTATATTCTGTGCTATATGCATTATGTTTCTGACACTTTTTTTGTAATACCTTCTGTAATAATTTCTGTAATACCTTCAAAGCCTTCGAAATCTTCTACACAGTCTGGCTAGTTTTCCAACAATTATTGACAGTAGCCTGCTTGATGCTGTCCCAGGATGTACCAACATAATCAATAACTGTAGGGAGCTAAAGCTCCCAAAATTCAAAAGAGTGCATGGATTATCTCGGGAGGCCTGCTTGCATATAAAAGGGAAAAGGCTGGTTCTGAGGAATTCCAGGAAGAAGAAGATTAAGTATAGAAAAAGGGAGTGTCAAAGGGAGTGTCAAAGGAAGTGTCCATTGTACCTTGATCTTCATGATGTTATTTTAATTATGTAATCTTGGGATACACAAAGGAACAGATTATGTATAAAAAGGAGCATAAGAAATAAACTCGGAGAGACAGTTGTGAGATCTGTTCTTCCTCCTGCACCCTGTCTTCTCTTTTCTCTCAGTCCCCGCTCCCCCATTCAGGGACCTGGTTTGACTTGGTCGGCTGGTTTCCGACAAATAACATTGCATATAGTGACCGACTTCCAATAGTTCATCATGGTAGTTTCCTTGTTGGCCTTGAGAGCCTCAAAAGCATTGCTATAAAGCTCCTTGATATAGTGCATCTTTAAAGCTTTTACTATGCCCTGATCAAGAGGCTGGATGAGAGACATAGTGTTTGGGGGCATGAAAAAAACTTCTACGTTGGGGTGGGCATTTTGGAGTTCTTTGCGGACTGGGGCATTATCCAAAATTAATAAAACCTTGAAGGCAAGGTTTCTGCCCTGGAGATAGCATTCAACTTCTGGTATGAAGCAGATATGAAACCAGATGTCATCTGGGCTTTTTTGTTCCACCTCCAATGGACAGGCATATGGTTCATGCTTTTCCCTTTAAGTGCTTGTGGATTGGGGGCTCTGTACACCATTAGGAGTTTGCACTTAAAGTCGCCCTTGACACTGGCGCACAATAACGTTGTAACGTTGCATAGTCTTGGAATGATTTAAAGCCAGGAGCTTTGGAGGTGTTATATAGGCTCGTTTGCCAATGGCCTTGTAAAATAAATGTTTCATCAGCATTGGAAACCTGCTCTTCTACATATCCTCCTTCCTGTATGACACTTAGGAAGTCGTTTTTAAATTCTTCTGCATCCTCCTGGTCTGCAGAACTTGCCTCACCTGTAAGTTTAATATTTTTTCACACCACATCACCTTTTGAACCACACAATCCAGCCAGCGCTAGCCCAAAATGGTTTAACGTTCTTCTGACCTTGGGTTACATGACTGTGAATTTCTTTGGCTTTCAGCCTTAAAAGAATGCTGTCCACTGCACCTTTTTTATCCGTTGTCATCTCACGGATCCACAGATTTAGCCGCTTTTCCATCTTTTCCATAGCTTCCTCATGCACTGTAGATGTTACTTTAGCATTTTCGGGAGCAGCCTCACATATAGATAGGCGAATTTCCTTTTCCTTTATGTACCCGATTGTTGATTCATTAACATTGAACTCACGGCCAACAGCACTACAACTCATGCCTGAACAAAGCTTATAACACACGTATTTTCTCCATAAGGCACATCACAGCCTCCTTGCATTTAGGAACACTAGGTAGCACTTCAGCACTAAGCTTGGGGGTCATTTTAAATAGAAACATCACTATAAAAAGCACAAGAATGTAAAACGGGTAGTACTACATTGACTGCGAAAAATATTTCTATTTACAGTATGAGAACTGAAGCAAAAAAACCCTGCTCAATCCGGGCTGGTATAACAATGCGGGTGGACTCAAAGTTTTCATCCTCTGCGCATGTCCGCGAATAACCCCAGAGAGCACCGGGAATATCGACTTGGAAATTACAATAAATTTCAGCAAGGAAGCGAATTCGAAAATACCAACCTGTGAAGAATGAGAGTCAACTGTACACCCACAGACATGAAATGTCGTTTAAGCACGTGCACGAAATTTAAAAGGCTAAGTGGCGGCGAAGACTACAAGTCCCAGCATGCACAGCTTCAGCACTGTGCTCCGTCAACCGCCGCAGCAGCGTCTGGCCGGGCACTAAACCGGAAGTGTCGAGTTCCTATCATGTATCACTCTCTGCGCATGTGCACACTCTGCAGGGACCCGCCTCAGCCGCCGCCTCCCCCGTCACAGCTTTATGGTTTCTCCCTAGGGCTTTACCGTTGGGGGCAGCTACTCCGGTGCTGTGACTTGGTCCGCCCTAAGTGGCAGCGACATGGAGGAATTTGACTCCGAAGACTTCTCCACCTCGGAGGAGGACGAGGACTACGTGCCTTCGGGTAAGCGATCCTTCCTGAGGCGAGAGACGGCTTGCCCCGCCCCCCACGTGAGGCGCGTTCGGCTCCGCGTGCGTGGGCCCGGTGGCCTTGGTGGCCCCGTGGCACGGGTCTCCGTCGTCCCCGCTCCGTCTCCTCTCCTGCCAATCTCCTGGATCCTTGCGGCCCCTGCGACTCGAAACGTGTGCACAGGGACATCTCGCGCAGGCGCTCCCGGCGGCCTAACTTCAGCCGCTGCCTCCCTCTCGGAGTGAACGCGGCCCTGCTGGGGACTCTGGTGGTGGTCTGTCATCCCCTAACCACGCCAATGCTGAAATCGTCTGAAAGGCACTCAGAGTTAGAAGTTATCGTGAGACCTTACGCCTGGAGGGAATTGCTCGCTAGCATCACGTTGGAGATCTGTCCATTTTTTTCACTCAGAAGGGATCTGATGGTTAGGAAGTTTACATGATGATGCCTTTCGCGTCTTTGCTTCCTTCTCGGAACTTGTTTTGATCTGTATTGTATAGGCATCTGAAACCGAATGGGGCCAAAATAAATCTTGACAGTCAAATAGACCTGTCCCTTCTGGCCATCCTACGCCTTTCCCTGACTTTTCCTCTCCTTAGAAGTTATCTACCCGTACAATCGCTCAGGGAGAAAACAAACAAAGCCTATAGTAATCATCCACATTTTCTCTTTTTTTGGTCCAGCTGATCAATAAATTCTGTCGTGTCGACATGGAAAATTAGTTTACTCCCTTACCAGTCTCACTGCTGTTGAGCTACCATGATCCTTCACTAGGATTCGCTATAGCTTCCCAGCTACTTTCCCTGATTCCATTCTTGTCTGTCCACATTGGTCTTAACGGTAATGGCCAGAATGGTCTTTTTTTTTTTTCTACTTAGATTTGCATAGTGTGTTCCAGTCTCAACATGGATTCTTCTTTTTATCTTTAGTTATAGGACTCGGTTCAGCTAGTCTTCAGGTGGTTCTCCGGTTTGATTGTTCTCTAATTTAGTTGTGCTTTTGGTGTGGACTTGGGAGGAGGCAGGCACAGTGTTTATCTACTCTGCCATCTTGACCAGAACTCCCAGAGCGATCATTTGAAAACTAGTTTTCATTTTAATCAAAGTTATGCATATCCATACTTAAAAATAGTAAAAATATTTATAAAAGACTTGCTTTCAAACCAGGCAGTTCCCATCATCCTTTATCTGTGTCAGTCCTCCCCAGTTGCAAAATTTTTCCACTTTTACATTAAAAAAAATTTTGTTATTTCCATTGTCTGTCGACTTAAGCAATACATGCTAGGTCTCATTAACTACCCCTTACCTCATTCTCCTCACTGCCAATACACATACCCTTCTGCCTTGAGGCCCTCCCCAACTCCCCAGCCTGCCATTGTTCCTATGTCCAGTTTTGGTTAGAGTGGTATTCAGTGTGTCAACGTAAGAAATGTCCAAACCTGTAGAGAATTTTTATAAGAGTTTATTTGAGCTAAACTGATGACAAATGCTGGGGAACAAGAGCTCAGATGCTCTGGAGAATAAGTTTGGAGGGTTTGTTTGTTTGTTTGTTTATTTATTAACACTTGATATTAAAGAGAGAACGTAAGGAAGATTACACGAAGGTGGGAGAAAGCAAGGTAGTGATCACATTACAGGTTGGTTAAGGTTCTCTTGAGGGTGGGTGGTCCACTTTAGGAAGGAGAGGCCTGGAAGGGGGCGTTTCAAACGTGTGTTAACCTAGATGCGCGGAAACAATAGACAGGGCTTGCTTAAGGCAAAGATAAGACTTTCACTACAGAAGTTATAGGTCTGGGGTGTGACTGCCCACTATGACCTGCCCAATTAGGAATTTATGATCAGATCACTCTCTGAGGTTACTTTCCATAGAACTTTCTTTTTATCCACAAGTGTTTATTTTTTTGTAATGACTGTGAACACCTCTCCCGCAGCTGAACTTTGTTGTACATACTATGATGGCTTTTCCCACACTACTTGTTTTTTCTGAAGTTAATAATGTCATTTTATTGTTGTTGCTTAGTCTATACTTACTACCAATTTGACCCTAAACTGTGGATGAAAAAAAAAGGAGTTCTATGGAAAGTAACCTCACAGGGTGATCTGATCATAAATTTCTAATTGGGAAAGTCACACCTCAAGCTTATAGCTTCTTTAGTGAAAGATTTTAAGCCATCACTGTCCATTGTTCTTGTACATCTAGATTAAAACACCTTTGAAATACCAGAATTAATATCCCTCGAAGGGAGTGTTAACCCTCAAGAGAGCACATCCTGTAATCCAATTCTAGACTTGCTTTCTCCAGTCTGATGAACCCTCCTTAATTTCAAATGCAAAAAAGAAGCTGCAAAACTTATTCTTCAGAGCATATGAGATCTTGCTCCTGGGCATATGTCATCAGTTCAGCTCAAATAAACTCTTATAAAAATTCTCTACAGGTTTGGATGTTGACGTTTACTTGGCATAGTCAGGATTCCGAAGCAGCCCACCCTGGGCCACCCTGTGGACCTGGACCCGGTGCTAAGTACAAGCAAGGGCTCATTGTGCCCCACTGGCTCCCTGCTTCGCATCAGGTGAACTTGGGTGAGTCTCTTGGAATCCCAGGCCTCCTCCCTTTAAGTCGGAGGCCGTGAGTTTATTTGAGCTGTTTTTAGAAAATCCTCAAGGTAAAGGGTTGAAATTACCCAAGGAAAGCAAAAAAAAAAAAAAAAATGGTTGCTTCTTTTTAATTACAGCTTTTTAATTGGATTACTTACTTAGAGTCCAAACAAAATCTCTGCTGGTTAATTGAGAAACTAAACTCTTTAGCTCCAAAAGAGAAACAACACTTGGTTTCTCAACCTGAATAGCCAATTGGGGTGATGGTAGTTTTCTGATCCTCAAATCCAGGCAGTAGACACAGGCGCCAGGAGTCATTCAGTGCAGTAGCTCAGCAGATCCCAGAGAAGCCGGCAGGGGCCCTTGGGGAGAAGGGCAGGGCGCCCTGGAATGGGTACTTGCTGAGAGAGGGGCCCATCCCTTGGAAAGCATTGCAGTTCTGGCTGCGTTCAGCAAGCTCTTGCTCGCCCTTGGTCCCATATACTTAGGTGACAAAGAATCTTCGTGGGCTTGCTTGAGGAAATATTTACTCTAGGGTGTAGAGTGGTCCCAAAGGGATATCACTGAATTTGGCTCATCTGGAGATGTGCATTTAAAGGCTGGTTTTCTCTAGAAGTTTATTCAGACTCCGTAGATCTCACAATTAACATGGGAAGTTGTGCCTCTCAGGCCAACAAGGCCCACCACAGTCAGCTTCCCATTTATAATTAAGATTGTTAAGATGAGGATCCTTTGATACTTCTAAAATAGGCAGAAAGAGCGGAAAACATGTTATTAGTCTCTCAAAGCTTCAGAAAGAGGATTTAGTTAAGCGGATCAACCTATGATGTTGTTTAGGTGTTAACCCAATTCTTGGATGTATTGAAAATGGCTATCTTTTCAAAAGGGAGTTCATTTGGAACTTGACTTGTCAAGGACAGGTGAATTATATAAGGCCTCCAAAACAAAATTTGGATCCAACTGTTGTGTTTGTGTATGTCTCTGTGTATATGTGTATGTTGTAAATGTGAGCTAATTTTCTACCTTTACATGGTATCGTTAAAATTAATTTAAAGGCAAACACTTGAAAGGATTGGATATTCTAAAATTCTCAGAAATATAGAAACTAAGTTGAATGGTTTTCAGGTTCTTGTAATCTGAAATTAATCCTTAGTGAATAAAAGCCAGCTTCAGTTTGTGGGTTTAAGTAAAACAGACATGTCTTTGTATTGCTTAGGTTTTATAAAAATAAGTACATGTTAATAATCGACTTGTGTCTATGAAAAATGTTTCTAGAGGTTATAAAATGTCTGAGTTAAAGAATGCTAATGGTTTACTTCGTTTTCATTAGACATTGAGGTTTTAAGGGTTAAAAATCACAATAACGTAGAAATAACATTGCAGTGTTCCACAAAGGCCCCTGGAACACCTCAAAAGATTTAGAATTGCATGGGAAGCATTGTAAAATAAGTGAAGAAACTTCTAGGGTATATTGTATGGATAAACAGTGGTCATAAATTAAATAGTTGGGACTGTGGGAAATCCAAGATGGCCAGTTGGTCCTTCCTTGCTCCCTAGCTCCCCTTTCTTTTGGTTTTTGCATTTCTTCATGCATCACAGTGAATATAAGCTGGATTTAGATGAAGGAACTTATGAGCTGACATTATTGAAAGGACAACTTACAGTATTGCCAAGGTTTGATAGAGTCACTTCAAGAAAATGCCAAGTTGGTAACCATTTCTTTCACAGTGAGCTCCCAAGAGACAGACTTTAAAGATCATTGGCTGCCACCTGGAGATTTTGTTGATTGGAAAGGATATCAAATAAAAGACACTCTCCAACTTCATTGGAAGAGACTTTATCAGATGCCTAACCTCGAATAGACATCTGCCCCTGCCTGCTGACATCAAAGACTTCTCCGGGGTGAGGAGCTGCTGACATCAGAGATGGACAGCTATCCCAAGACATTGACATGCCCTGTATATCTAGGGATTGATACTGAACTCAGAATCCATTTTGTTTGACTGTCTTTACCTGTCTACTAATGATAATAGTCATATTAATAGTTATACTTGTTCTTTGGGTTTCTCTATATAGTCCAACTGTGTATGATTACTGAACATGTATAAGATAACTGCTAATGCTATTTTCTTGGTTTATGTAAATGTTATACTAGCTGCTAAATACAGACAAATGAGACAGAAGGCAAAACTTGAATCATGATAATTCGTAATAGGATAGAGATGATCCAGAGTGTTTTTTTGCAATAAAGACCATGAGACCTGACTGCCTTCCAGTTAACCTGCCCTTCCTGTTTTGGGAAAATTTGGCTCAACTCAGATCCCATGATTATGGTATTGCCCCATCTCCAGTGGTCAACAAGATGATGTCCATACCGAGACTTCCTGGGAATGAGCCTTCCTTCCCAGTGCTGTGAGACAACACTATCCGACCAAAAGGTTGGTCATCAGTGCATCTTTGGATGATGAACAAAAGAGAGAACAATGGATGAAAACAAAGGGTTCTATGGAATGTAACCTTACAGGGTGATCTGATCATAAAATCCTAACTGAGCAGGTCATGGTGGGTAGTCACGCCCTAGACTTAAAACTTCTTTAGTGAAAGGTTTTAGGCCAGCCCTGCCCATTGTTTTTGTGCATCTGGGTTAACACACCTTTGAATGCCTCTTTAAGGGGGGTAGTAACCCTCAAGAGAGCACATCCTGTAATGCAATCCCAGCCTTGCTTTCTCCAGTCTTTCCTATGTCCCCTCCTTAATTTCAAATGCAAAAAAAGAAGCTGCAAAACTATTATTCTCCAGAGCATTTAAGATCTTGCTCCTGGGCACATGTCATCAGTTTGGCTTAAATAAACTCATAAAAATTCTCTACATGTTTGGGCTTTACTTATGTTGACAGCTCTCAGAATTGTCTAAGTCATCTTCCAAGATATTTAGATTCATTAAATAATCTTACACTTTCATCTTGAAGTCTTTCTTTGCCTCTGACCTCCAGTTTGGCTTGATTTTGCCTTTGAAACCTAGTATCTTCCATCTCATCACTACACTGGGTTTCCCCTTTAACCTTCCTTCTCCCTTGGATTCCTTGGGCTCCATGTTACCTTCTTTCTTGGTACATTCCACCAAAATGAGAATAAATCCCCATAACTCCTTGAGGAAAGATGCATGGTGGAAACTTAGTTTTTTGAGATTTTGAATATCTTAAAATTATGTGATCCTCAGGCATAATTCATTTGGTATAGAATTATGTGCTCTATGATAAGAATTCTAAGCTCTATAATTCTCTGAAGTTTAAAGGTGCCGCTCCATTACTTTATAGCTTCCAGTGTTTCTATTGAGAAACCTGTTTTGTGACTGATTTCTGCTCATTTATATATGATCTGTTTGTCTCTGAAGGCTGATAGTCTTCTGTTCCTGATATTTTCTGATATTTCACAATGATACACATAACCTTGGTATGAGCGTATTTTCATTTATAGTGCTTGGCCCTTTTCATTAAAATAAATATTTTTTACAATTTTCTCCATTTTTTTTTAAATTTTTCTGAAATCTTCATTATTCATATGTTGTATCTTACATTACATTTTCTGGACTGAACCTCTAATTTTTTTTCTGTCCTATTTTCTAGCCATTTGACTTTTTTTCTACTTTATGGGAAATTCTCAATATTTTCTCTTCCAACTTTTTTATTTTTTTATTCTTCCTTTCATATTTTTAATTTTGAAGAGCTTTTTTATTTCAGTATTCCTTTTTTACAGCATCATGTTCTTGTTTAATAAGTGCAGTGTCTTACTGCTTTATAGATATTAATAGTACTTAATTATCTTTACTTTTAAATTTTCAGTAAAATTCACTCTTCTCAGTGTACTGTTCTATGAGTTTAAACAAATGTTGAGTTGTGTAACCACCGCCAAAATTAACAGTTCTGAGACTCCTTATCCCTCTCTCTAAAAAAAAAAACAAAAAACAAAAAAACAGGTATGTTGTCACAGATAACGAATAGTTTTATTTCTTCGTTACCCATAGATACAACTTTTTTTTCTTTTGCGTGTCTTGTTGTACTTGATATGACTTTCAGTATGATGAATAGGAGTGGGACATCCTTGCTTTGTTGCCAATTTTAAGAGGAAAGCATCAGTATTTCATTGTTGAGTATTATGGTAGCTGTAGGTTTTTCACAGATGCCATGTGTGTGTGTATGTGTGTGGGGGGGGGAGCGGGGTAAGTGCTTTATATTGACTAACTACATCACATAATGCTACCAGGTATGTGCTGTTGTGTTCTCCATTTTTCACATGAAGAAACTGAGGCTCCCAAATTCACCCAGCTAGATAGTAGGTGAGCTGGGATTTGAATCTGGCAGTCTGCATATACTACCTCTCACAGATGCCTTTTATCAAGTTAAAGGAGTCCCCTCTATTCCCAATTTGTTGAGAGGTGAACTTTGTCAAATGCTTTTTCTCCAACTATTTATTGTGCGTGGTTTTTCTTAGCTCTTAATGTAATGGATTACAGTGATTGACTTAAAATTTTTGAGCAGCCTTTTATTTCTGGGATAAAACTCATGTGCTCATGATGTATTACTCTTTTTATACTTGCTGAATTTGATTTGCTAATATTTGTTGAGGATTTTTGCATCTGTGTTTACGAGGGATTTTGATCTGTAGTTTTCTTGTAATTTCCTTGTCCGATTTTGGTATCAAATAATGCTAGCTTCATGAAATGAGGAAACAATCTGTTCCTATAGCTAATATAATACTAAATGAGATGAAAAACTGATGGTTTCTCTTTAAAACAGCAAAGCAAGGATGTCCCACTCCTCATCATACTGAAAGTTATATCAAGTGTAATAAAACAAGGTGATTTTTATTCATTCGGTCTTTTTGTTTTGGGCTTTTTTATGTTAGATTTCTCAGATTTTCTTTAATTCTACTTTTTTGGCTCATAGTTAAACATGGGGGACTAAAAAGGTAAGGGAAGCTCTGCGTCTTTAGGTAATGCTTGGTTTTTTTGTGCTTCATTGTTTATAGGGATGTTAATCTCATTTTTTTCTCATAGTAACTGCATGGAATTGGATCTTGATTGTTTTATTTTTAATTTAAAATTTGCTTATCTGTTATCAGTGAGATTGAGCATCTTTTTACATGTTTAAGATCCAGAGCCATGTGCTTCTCGTCTGAACTCTCTACAACACTTGCCCATTTATATGAAAAATAAAATTATTAGAAAAGCAGTACATGAACTTTGAAGAAAATTTTAAAATGCAGACGATTAAATATTAAAAAATAGAATCATTACATTCCCACCACCCAGAGATTATCAGTATTAATCCCTTAGTTAATATCAACTTTGGTCTTTTTCTACACCTGAATATAGCTATTTATATTTTTCCCCAACCTGAAATTATACTTTTTCATGTTACTTTGTAACCTGTTCTTTTAGGTTAAACTTTCAACTCATCTGATATACAGACCATATTCAAATTTTCCCAGTTGATCCAAAAATGGCGGTAGCTGTTTGTCCACGTCAGTTCAGGACTACATATATCATGCAGTCGTTCCATCCCTTAAATCCATTTAGCCTAACAGAACCCTTTCTCTAATGACATCGATTTGCTTAAGAAGTCAGGCTATATGTCCTGCAGAATGCCTCACCTGGTTTTGTCTGGTTGCTCTCATGATGTTTTAGATTGTTCCTTTATCCCTTGGATTATCCATACATTAGAAATTAGATCTAAATGCTTGTTGGGTTGAAATAAAATATTTTGGCTAGAATACATTATAGATGACTGTGTGTTTCATAATGCGTAACATCAGAAGACCTGGTCGATGCCCATATCTGTGACTGAGTCTTATCCCTCTACTATGTAATTTTTGTTTTCCTTGGAACTGAAATATCCTGTGTGGCAGTTTACCTAATGGTTAAAACTTAAATTGTGTGTGTTTTTTGTAGCATTACTTGATAATCCTTGCCTAAATTACTACTATCATTAGAGTGTGAGAAGTGATGTTTTCCTAATTCTGTGGTTCTTTTACATTTATTGATGTTATGTAAAGTATAGCTTACCTTCATCAGTTGGGGCAGGATAAATGTTTAATTGATTTTCCTTAATTACCAATTTTCAAAATGGAGAATACTTTCAATAGTAGCCTAAAATGGTATAATCATTTTTTTTTAATATTGTAAAGGATTCACAGATTTTAATCAATTAAACATGTTTAAATCTACAAATGGTTATTCTTTTAATGACTTTCAATGCTCAAGTCATTACTTTTGGCTGCTAGGACTTCCTTCAAGCTGGATCTTGACCTTATAAGGTGACCTATTATTCTTAAGTAGCTTTCTTTCTTTCTGGCACAGCAAACTGTCCCAGTTTCACCTTGTGCTTTCTTTCCCTCAGACCTGAAATTAGCTTCCCCCCTCCCCCCCCCGGGAGCCCTTTTGGTGATGAATTATGTCGAAGAATGAGATCTGAACTTTAAAGAGTGCTTATTGCTACCTAGAGTGACATTATTTCTGTGCCATTTCAGTGAACAGACTAGAAAATATTTATCTTGAGTTCTTATTGATATTTTTAATTCAGTTTTAACATTTGTGTTTTTACACTTCATTTTATTGATTTTATAATTGTGTCATTTTTCTTATTCTGAAAATTTAGATTCCTAACATGATTAACATAATTATTTTCACGTATCTCATAAAGGAAATATTTTTACAATGCCAGCATTGATGTTACTACAAGGAATAGAAGTTTTTTTGGTCTTTAGGCTATATTTTGTAAGGATGTACAGTCAAAAAACTGTTTCTAAACTCCTTGGAGTAAATCTCTTCTTTGTGGGTTATGTTATTGTTTGGGCATGAGGTTATGTTTGTTTATTCAAACTGTTCTATAGAAAGATAAGCACAGAGAACTCCAGCTTCTGTCTCTGCCTACTGCACCCTGTCCTGTTCTGACTCCTATATGTTGCTATTTTCATTAGTATTTTATTTATCCTTCCACTATTACTTTTTGCAGATATAAACAAACACAATGCAGCTAGGTACCCATCATTGTGAGTTTATGTCTTTTAAAAGTCTTTTTGCTGTAGTGATTTTGCTGGGGTATCAGGAGGAAGCAAAATTACATTCGTGTGTTCAGACTGCCATCTTCACCTGAAACTCACTCCTGTCTTCATGAAACACTTTCACTTTCCGCTTGGTGTCTGGTCACCAAACTTGTTTTCACCTTAGAACCCTTACGTTTACTGTTCCCTCAGCCTCAAATGCTTATTCTCCAGATTTTCACTGACTCCATCTCAGCATCTTTGTTCTTTTTTTCTAATATCCGCTATCATATTTGTAATTTTCAAGAATTTTTTTCTGAAAAAAATTTTTGGTTATCTTCATGGATGCTTCTTTGAAGATATTAATTATAAAGGCTTTTTAAAAAAGTTTTTAAGTTTTTTTTTTTTTAATTCTGTTTCCTCTGAATTTCTGCTTGTTTTCAGTCTTGCCTTACATACTGGAGACTTTCCTCAAGTGTTTGGTAGTACTTGGTTCATTAAGAGTGAAATATTTAAAAGCTTATTAGGTGTACAGGAATATTCAAAACTACATTATTTGTAATGACCCCAAACTGAAAACAACCTAAGTGTCCATCAACAGGAAAAATGGATAAATTACAATATAATCATAGAATGAGATATAATTTCAGGATGAGAATTGATAAACTATGGCTACGTTCAACAATATGTGTGACTCACACAAACAGTATGTCGAGTGAAAGAAGCCAGGCTTCTGTTTGTTCAGCACTCAGAAACACACACAGCTAATCTGTGGTACTCGAAATCAGGATTGTGGTTACCTTTGGGATGGAGCTGGTGGTTGCAAGGGGCATAGTGGCCTTCTGGAATGCTGGTCATCATGTTCTGCTGGGTCCTAGTTATACAAGTATGTTCTCTTCGTGTAATTTTATTGAGCTGTACATTAGATTTGTGTGCTTTTTAATAGGTGTTATACTTCAAATGAAAGTCTCTATGAACTTTTGAATCTAGCTGAATCTCCATGGGTGCCCACAGTGTGGTCAGACTGGACCTCTGGGCAGTACTTTGTTGGAAGTCCTTGAATATGTGTCTGAGGATAGGAATAGACATGTTTGTTCTTTCTGCTATGTCTAACAGGGAGTCTTTAGGCTTTTATTGAAAAGACAATATCATTTGCTTACTTTTGAAAGATATCCAAGATGAGGTGGGAATCTTAGTTTCTTCTTGGAAAAAAGTACAGTAGTGGAATTGGAATTTCTGTTCATTCAGTCAGCAGATATTTATAAAGACAAGCAGGATCCATGTCCTCATGGTGTGTGGAGCATAGCAGAAATTGCAAGCATTAAATATAAGTGGGATGAGTTATGGAGGAAAATATGGACTGCCTGGGCTCTGGGAACTTAGCTTAGTTCCCACGGACAGAGAAAACTTCCCTAAGGAAATGATATTTTAATTAGTTGAAGAATAGTGGAAAGTACTAGACTTTCTTCCTAATGAAAATGTCTCATCTTGATGTGAAAACCTTTATTCTTGTCTGACCACCTTATTATGTGATTTCAGGTGGAGAGTATAGTGAAGATGATGTAAATGAATTAGTAAAGGAAGATGAAGTGGATGGTGAAGAGCAGACACAGAAAACCAAAGGGAAAAAAAGAAAGGCTCAGAGCATTCCAGCCAGGTGATGATGCCCTCAAGGCCCTCAGAAGTCAGGGTTGTTGTGACTGCTTTGACTGCTGGGATTGGTCAGATGGTAGAGTTCATGCTGCCAGGGTTTTTACCTTTTTCTCTTGAAGGGAAACATTTGGTGACATTTTAGGATTACATTTTTGGTTTCTGGCAAACTTATTATTATTTTTTTACCTTTAATTAAAAAACAATTTAATAGTTAATAAGTGCATACGGTTGAAATGAAAAACTCAATTACTACCAAAATGCATGCCCTTCTTGCTTTGCCTCAGAAGAACTGTGTTATCAGAGATATTACATGTATGTACAAGCACGTATGTACATATTTCCTACTCTGTTATTAAAACAAAAAACAAATAGTAGCATACTCTGTATTGTTTCACATTTTCATTATTTCACATCTTGGAGGTGATACCATGGCAGTACATCTAGCTATACCTTATTCTTTTCAGTGACTGCATAATATTTCATTATGTAGATAGGTTTTATTTGAGGATCCCCTATTGAGAGACATTTAATTGTACCCTGTCTTAACTACAACAAACAAGACTGCAGTGTCTTTGGATCTGTAGAAGTAGAATTGTTTGAACCTGCGATAGATGCAGTAAAAAAAATATTTATAGATATTAACAAATTGCCTTTCATAGGCTTGGTACTGAATTATATTCCCACTAAAAATTACGAAAATTCTGACAGGTTATTTAACTCAAATAGGAGAGTCTTTAATAGAAGTCTCTTACTTTCTTTGATTGGTGTTTCCATCTTACTGGGCACGGAAGCAGAAGACAGATTATAGTTTATAAAAACGGAAAAAATTTTAGGTATTAGATTCACTTGAAGTCAGAATCAATTTATTCTCATGAGTCTTGGGCCTAGTTCTTTTGTCCTTGAGGTTTCTATATTCCAGCTTTCATGGCTTCAGAAACATGGATTCCCCCACCTCCCTGAGAATCCTATAAATAAACTCAATAGAACATGTTCTCCAAATGTAATGACTTCAAAATATCAAAGATACCTGACCTATATATG